ACTTTTCCGAAATTCTGAGATATACAAATTGTTCCTTATCGCCTACGGAATCGAACGAATGTAATTATAGCCCGCTAGGACAATTATTAAGGAAAATAGAAAAATAGCCCATTTCATGGACTAAAAAATTGGCGTCCATCTAGCGGCGAAAGTTGGAACTACAAAAGCAGAAAATCCCGATTTTCTCGAAAACTAGGGACTTTTCCGAAATTCTGAGATATACAAATTGTTCCTTATCGCCTACGGAATCGAATGAGTACTTTCATAGCCCCCTAGGACCTTTATTAAAGAAATTAGAAAAATAGTCCATTTCATGGACCAAAAAATTGGCGTCCATCTAGCGGTGAAAGTTGGAACTACAAGAATAGAAAAATGCGATTTTCTCGAAAATTAGCGAACTTTGAGTACTTCCGAGACTCAGAAAGTGTTACGTGGTCGCATTAGAAGCACAATAAAGCAATAAAAGTTTCCTGACAGCTTTAGTAAAGAAAATAAAGAAAAGGGCATTTTATCGACAAAACTAGTGGCGCCATCTAGCGGCGAATTTTTTAGTCCATGAAATGGGCTATTTTTCTATATTCCTTAATAATTGTCCCAGCGGGCTATAATTACATTCGTTCGATTCCGTAGGCGACAAGGAACAATTTGTATATCTCGAAATTCCGGGCTTCTTGAATTATGTTCCAATGCTGCAATAGTTTGTCCTGTTTAGGAATTTCAGCAGAACCTGTTTCATTAGCTTTACTCTTATCATTACTTTTTTCAGAAGTCGAATTTTCACTCTTCGTGCTGTCATCATTAGGTAATGTTTCATTTTGGTGAACATTACAAATTGAATCTTTAACTCTTATGCTATTATTATTATTAGATATTGTTTTATTTTGGTCAGAATTTGACTTATGCATATCATTAAACACATTTTGACTTTCACTGTTTAATTGTTTATTACTTGCAGGTACCAAAGTAATTTTATCATCTTGTTTTTTAAGTATACTTCTCTTATCTAAAATTACAGAACTATTCTTTTCTCCATTTTGAAAAGTTACATGAATCACTTTGTCTGTAGAATTTAATGGGTTTATAGAAATATTTGTATTATGCTCTGTATTATTAACCGGCTTCATACTAGATGAATTTTTGAATGAATTAATATTCTTCTCTACAATACAATTTTTTGGGTCAGCGTTAGTTATTGATTCAGTATTATTGGTGTTCACACAAGATCTAAAAGTTTCATCAGAGTTCCTTTTATTCTTGAATATTGAGAATTTCTTACATTTTACTACACGAAATTTTGATTCTGTTAATTTCCGATGTTTTACAGAATCTAAATCCTGCTGAATATTTGATGTGTTCATTTTACTTTTATTTTCATCTGTGTGGTTTATATCTTTTTTACTATTAGAATCATGTTTTTGTTGATTATTTACAAATAGTATTTTATTTTTCTTTATTGTTACATATTTTGGAATACTTTTACTTAGATCTTGAACTTTCTCAGAATATTTATGAGAATTATTCTTTAATAATATCAATTTATCATTATTTAGCTGCTTAATTTTATTTACTGTAGGTAAAGCATATTGTAGTTGTACTTTATTGTTATTTTTCTCTTTTGTATCAGACTGTTTATCAGAATCAGCTTTTAAGTTGTTAGAAGAAATTAATTTTGCAGCCACTTTCGACATTTTAACATCATTTCGTAAACTCTTGTAATTCATTATTGTGCCTGAATTATTTGATGACATAATGGAAAGTTTTATAGGTTTACTTATTGTATGATTCAAACTAGCTTTGCTGAAGGTAATTGTTTTAGTATTTAACACATTTTCTTGTGATAAAAATTTTACTTTCACTTCTCCAAGATCCTTACCGTCTTGTGATCTTATTCTTAACTTTGTTACTTTACTAGGTGATGAGAAGTTTTCGCTTTTCAAAGTGTTGAAATTTTTCAATGTTACAGAGTTGTTAACAGCATTTGTTACATTTGGTACTTTCTGCACAACATTCTTCTTTTCCACAATTTTGCATTGAACTATTCTTGTAGTTCCAACTTTCACCGCTAGATGGACGCCAATTTTTTAGTCCATGAAATGGGCTATTTTTCTATTTTCCTTAATAATTGTCCTAGCGGGCTATAATTACACTCGTTCGATTCCGTAGGCGACAAGGAACAATTCGTATATCTCAGAATTTCGGAAAAGTCCCTAGTTTTCGAGAAAATCGAGATTTTCTATTTTTGTAGTTCCAACTTTCTTTC